ATCACCTCCAGCATGCAGAGAGTCCCAAAGTAGTTAAGAGTTGCACACGTACCACAGTTGTAACCCAACAGCCCAAACACAGCAACACTGCAACTTTCCATTTCAGATTAAAAAGAAATTATCTTCAGTAAAGCTGAAAGTGAGTTTTAATGCAACCCTAAAATAACCATTCACACATGCAAACCAATTATTGGTGCAGGTACTCAAGTGTGAAAGCAAAGACAGAGCAACACCCTCTCCTTCTCTCAAGTACATTAAAAAATTCCATGTTTCTATAAAGATGCCTCTCTATATGCAGGTCCTGTGTTTTGTCTCTCACTGACTCTACTCTGGAACTGTGCTCGTACAAGGAGCAGCAGAGTAAAGATCTCCTCTACAGATGATCCTCTCTTTTGCTAGGGCCACAAATAGAAATTACAAAAGAAATATTTAAAATCGTGGATATTTAGTGAAACCTCCTCAGTGCACTTTCCATGCCCTCTTGCCTAGTGACTGCACCAACTCTCCCCTCTATCTAGAGACTGAAAAAGCATTTCCCCTATTTGTACACAAACGACAGCAAGTCAGTTTTGAAGGGGAAAGAAGAAGAAAGGCAGCACTGAAAACTCTAAGGATTATTTACGAACAAGCTGAAGCCCTATAAACTTGGCTATTGGAGAAAGATAATCCTCTCTAGCTTATGCCAAGTGGGTCAGACAGAGGAAGAACCTCAGCAGTCTTCAAAGTCGAAGCAGATGGGGAAGTGAATAAGTGCCCATGTGAGCGAAAAGGAAACAAGCTTCTGTTCATTTTAGCTTGTTTCAGAGCGTCAGTTTGCTACACACCATCAAAATGCCAGACCTCTAACTGACACAAGCAGAGGAGCTCACTTCTGTAAGAAGTATTAGAACTGCAGAGTAATTACTTAAGACTGCTACTGATACCAAAAAAAAAAAAAAAATGAAACCCTGGTGTGCTCAGATTTAAGATGTTGCTTAGCTTGGTAGAAGGGAATCAGGTAAAGTGGAAGAAAGGTGCTAAGAGGCAGAGACTGAAAGAAATGTTCTTCGCTTTGTGGCTATGAAAAAACCCCTTGGGATTCTTTATCATTAGTGCTTCAGTATCACAGATATAAATATTTATGTAGCTGTAAGGTAGGCTCTACTTTAGAGCTAATTGTAGCTCTAATTAGAGCATTTTAAAAAAACACATGAGCTTGTAACTAAATTTTTTACCCTTTTTGAAACAAAAAAGCACAGTCCATGCATGCCACAAGATGAACATATATCACATTCTTTAAAAAGCTGAAGTTGACCTCTTGGTCCTTTCTCAGGCTTTACATCACCAGACAAGATCTGGGCCAAGACCATTTCCACACACAGGGATGCATCTCTGTCTCAGGCTAACCTCATCATCCAAGTGGTGAAACCTAAAACCAACTAATCTCTCCCAGGGTTATGCTTGTGGAACTGGGAATCCCTCCATCTGCCTCAGCAATACAAAAAGATCACTGGCTGCAAAATAAACAGCACATGAACCACAGAACAATAGCCCCTCCAGTCAATGCTGCTCATGCCACCCACCAAGGGCTAATAATTTTCTAACAGATCTCTCCCCCTAAAAAAAACTTTTCATACTTTGAAGAAAGATCTTGTGCAAGTTGACAACATGCAACTTCTTTTGGATCCCTACAAAGGAAGGACTCCCTTCTGCTCTGAACTCCTGGGAGTTTTGCAAGCTATCTGCAATCAGAAGCAATAAACCCTGAAGGAGCACAGAAATAGTTTTAATCAAGAACATCTAAATTGAGCTGTGACCAATAGAAGGAGGAGTATTCAGTGTTATAGTTTGCTAGGGAGACACAGAGAGCCAAGGACACGCTGAGGAGATGCTTGTCTTCCAAAGAAAATATTGCTAAGAGAAACAGGCAACCTTCCACCATTTATTTTAGGAGGTGGCTGCTGAGCTGCATCAGCTATTCCTCTGGTGTCTCCATGAGTGTTTTTTGCCCAAGACTTCTGCTGGAAGAGCCAGAACTGCAAAACTTATAAGAAAACTCCACAGGAAGAGGCACTGAGAGGTTGCACAACACCACCCCTTTTCGGATACATGTATCTTCACTTACGCAAACTCAAGTGATCTTCTGATATTTAGGCTGGGTTGTGTGGAGCACGGTTAAGACAAGAATAGGTGTATGAAGTCTTTGCTTGTTTTTTTGCAGTGTGTTTAACTACACATCAAGAAATTTGCTAAAATGAGAAGTGTGAAGGAATGGGGAAAGGCTGTGTTGTGAGAAATAACAAGGGGAGAGCTTGAAACTACAATCACTTTAGTTTATTTTCCTATGATCAGTTATCATGCAAGCTGAAAAGTTAACTACCTTGCTTTATGTAACTTTTTACCATGACAACTAATGACAGTTATTCCTTTTAGCTAAGAGACCATCATTCTCACAGCAGCTTTAAATGTTTTAAGATGCAAAGCAAGGATTCCCAAATATTCCTTTCCCCACTAAAAAAAAACCAAACGTTAACCTTGAGGACCACATAAAGTTGCATTTGCTGTAGTCAAACCTTTTCCCTGCACTCTGGTGTAGAGGGAGGGGGGGGGAAAAAAGATATACAAGTTAACAGACTCATATTGGTTTTTTAACAGTATCCCCACAAAAAGGATTTTTTTTTTTTTTACACGGACATTTGACCTGGGTTAACACTGCAGTGGGGAGAGTTGAAAAGGGATCACCTGATGAAACAGAAATACCTCCCTCCAAACTATATTGCAGGAATTACAGCCAAGCACCCCAACCGCAGCAAACAGTAAGAGCCTTCTGGAACAGCACACGTTCTGTGTCAGCAAAGCAGCATTAATACAAAACTCAATTCAAATAAAGGAGTACTGACCCTTCAGAAAGGGTACGGCTTCAATAGGCTTCTACCACACCAAACACAGACCACCAAAGATATTCAAACCATTGCAAAAAATTATTATATCAAAAGGAGGAAAACAGTGTCAGCCTTGTACATGTTTTGTTGTTGAATAATGACAGTGTTTACCTTCCCAACCTAACACATTACTGCTCTGGACCCAACTTTAAAGCAGAGTACATGACAGAATTAATTATGTCCTTTCCTCTTAACTACCATTCCCTGGTTATTTATTAGCTCAGTCTGCATATATTCATAGATGTGTCTAATATACAAAGTTAAAAGGATTTAAAACTGCTGCCTAAATACTTCCCTGGTTTGCAGAGTCCTCTCCACCCTCTAGACAGGCAGTGGCATCAATAAATACAGCCTTAGGCTGCAAATTAGTCACTCCTCAAGTAGCTGAAGGAGACATGGGGGAACCACAAGTGCACTGTGACAGGCAAGAGCGTCTCATGGGCAACACGGTGATGGATCACAGGCAACAATCTCCCTCAGACACGCACTACACATGGCTCTGCTAAGGTCTTTTCTCTGATTTAGTAAAATGCAAAGGCTGCCAGCACATCCAGCTTTGTCTTACAGCCCACTCCAGCTTGCAGTTTAGCAAACCACCAGGCAGACCATCTGTCAGAACTACAAGGTCCACCTCTGTTGGAGCACCCATAGCTTGGAGGCCACCAGCCAGTTCCTGTGTCTTTCTGGAAAATACAAAAGCCATGACACACCACATAGCCTGAGTTCACAGTACCTCAACAAAGGAATGGCAGAGAGATAAATTCAGATAAGCTACCTAAATGTAAACCTCAAGGGAACTCAAAAGCCTCTCTGGAGTTTTCTATTTGGCTAAAATGAGATTTTCAGGCTAAAGAGCTATTCACTCTCCTGAGGGACAAACACCGGGGATAAGCAGATTGGAGAAGACTTCTGCTTTAAGACTGAAACAATTTTATTTCACTGAGGTACAGAGGCCAGTAGCTTCCACACTGACCATCCACTGTAAGGAGATGAAAAGGGAAGGAGGATGGGTACTGCTACAGACCCAGCAGCAGAAAGTAGAGAGAGAAAAAAAGAAAATCCTTTCACAGGCACTTCACAAAGAGCAGCAGCACTTTTATCTTTGTCAGCACAGATTTTAGGATACTATATTCCTGTGTGAATACTGCAGTCACTGTTTGGCCTCATCCAGAATCACAAGCAATTCCAACTAATACATCAAATTAGCTGTGTATCTGGGGATTAACTTTCTGTCTTGCATCAGAGGTCAATCAGATCTTCTCTCCATCACAGAGAAAGGAACATAAAATCCATTTTGGTATAGCAGCACACTTAATTCTTCCACCCATCACTAAAGGCACTATGGCACTGGATTTGCACTCAGGAGAATGTCCCTGTGCTATGGAACAGCACAGAAACTGGGTTTGAGAAGGTATTTAGAAGCAGCAAAGACCACGTGTTTGCAATCAACACCCAGAAACCCTGTTAATCACTGATCAACTTGAATTTAGCATTTTAGTGGTATAGATGGGGTTTAGAGATGAAAGTAGAGTGTTAAATTTGTTTGGGATCTTCCATCTTTTGGGCTAAAAAAATATAAAACTCTGAAGCTTTTTATGATCTCTCCATGTCAGAAACTCCTACCTAGAACTGTGGAGGGAAACAGGGAAGAAAAAGGGATGGAGGAAGAGCAACTGTATCTAAAAATCTGGAAGTATTAAGGTTCCATTTCATAACAAAATGGCATTAAGTGATACCAGCAAGCTTACTTTCTAGTGGAAAAAAAAAAAAAAAGCAGAGCATCTCCTGAAAAATTTTTTTATAAATTGGTGAGACTAGGGAGTAACATGCAGATGAAAGCTGTATTTCATTATTCTGCACCACGTCCACTTCATTTGATTAAATGAATAAATGAGATCCTTATGTCATACTGGAGGCACTACCCCTACTTTTGTTTACTACATCTTTCTAGCCTTAACCACAGCACACGCAGCACAGCTGGCTGGCAGCTCAACATTACAACACAACACACAGAGAAGTTAAGATAGGGGAAGTGATTCTAAAAAAAAAAAAACACAGAAAAAACCTTACTCCACTTACCTAAGCAATGTTGTCATTAGAGAGTTTTCCAGTAATAAAATCCAAGAAAAAAAGTCTGAAAAAAAAAACACAGAAAAAGGTAAACTTTTAGTAAGTAGGATAATGCTCTCACTTTTTTCCCCAGGAACTTGAAAAGTCAGTGATTTAAAGAAAAATAAGTACATTCACTCCATTAGTTGCATTTCAGATAGTTATTTGTAACAAAAAGGTGCTCCTCAGGCAGCAAATGTATCGGAAACAATGGGGTTGATTTTTCACTGCTGCTGCCAGCATTATACCAGTGCAATTCCCCAAATGTCAATCACATTGGACTGCAATAAAACTAGTGTTATCCAGCAGACGAGTCAGGCCTAAGGCAATTAGCTAAGCTGCCCCATTTAGATTTTCAGTCATTTCTCCCTCCCACCGAGCTGGATTATCAGAAAATGTGGACCAAGCTGTGGGGTGAGAAGCGAGGAGCCAAATACACACACACAGGCTGAGGTGGCCAGAACCAAAAATGTTGCTTATTAAAAAAATACCCAAATCACCCCAGGGCTAATTGCAAAAGACTCTAAGGCAGCAAAAGACAGAACAATATTAAGAAAGCTGTGATATACGAGACGTCATTATCGCATAAAAATAAAAGGCACAGTGTGAATTGCTGGTAAAAATGGCATGTGGCCACGACAGGTCTTACCAAAAATCACTGCTACCAAAAAAAGCAGTCAAGGCTTGTTGAGAGTCATGAATGCAGACTGAGGAAAAAAAAAAAAAAAAAAAAAAAAAAAAAGAAACCAGAAACCACACACTCAAACTAACTGAATATGTATGACTGCAAGGCTCCAAATCAAAGAGGGAGTTGACCACTGTTTAGGAGGAAGAAATCATTGCTTGTTCCAAGATTAAAAACTTATAATTCTGGCCCTGGCTGAAGCACTGTCATTCACTAATCTGGTACAATTTAGTCGGGCTGATCCCCCCCTCAGACAGAGGGGCATTATCAAAAGTTCCTCCATTCATTTTGCTTCCTGTTAGCCAGTGAAAGCCCCTTTTATATGCTCCTCCAGAGGCTGTTAAAGCCAAGGAAGACTTTCCGATAGAGAAGATAAGGTAGTTGGATTTATTCATGAGAGGAGGAAGGGAAGTTGTACAGGCTGATTACAGCTGCTCCCAAGTTGAAAAGTAGAGGTTTGGAGGAGGGAGGTGGAAGATGACGGATTTTTCATTAATAAGCATTATACCACTACCACTACTGTTAGAAGTAGCATAACTCTCCTGATACTCTACTACGTTTTACTCTTAAGTTGGCGTCACCAAATACACACATGTGGTTGAATAATTCAAAAATACATGGAAAAGGCAGAGAGGATATTTTTTAAAGAGATTGAGTAAATAATTTTTTTTAAAAAATAGAATACCTAAGACTGTAAGGATAAACTAGCCAGAATCAGAGGGAAGACACTGCCTATAATTGGTCTCAAGACTAAGACTGTTCACAAATCATTTGCAGGGTCAGATCCTGTTCTTATTGCCGACATGAGCACTCTCAGACATCAATGGAGAAGGATGGTGATTTCCAAATTACTTAACATGTGTCAGCAATTTTGAACAGTTGCTTTGCAGATTCTTAAGGCAAACCAAGCAAAACCCCACAAGAAAGCCCAGTATAGTACTTGGCGGATAAAAAGCTGCCTGGAAATTCTATCAAGATTCTGAAAAACATTCTCCCATTAATGTTCAAACACTCTGGTATAGTTAGAACAGTTTTTAAATGCAACAAGATGGAAATGCAAACAAAAACACATTTCTCAAGTTTAAAAAGGTCAAGTCAAAGCAGCAAAACTCTACCAGAAGTTAGGGCTAACAATGATGGTTACAGGGGTAAACCCTGCCTCTTCCTTCCCCTCTCCCAGACTATTCTTCTCCAAATGAAGGAGAAAAATAAACAAGAATCAAAATATCCACAGCAGAAAATCAAATGAAGCTTTAAAAGAAAGAAAATAACTCAGTTATACCTCATCATTACTCCATCCAGTCTGAACACACATCAAGTCATTAACTGTTTTCCCCTCTGACAATGCCAGATGAGATCAATATAAGCAAAAATAATAAACTGTTTTTCAATGCACTGTTATATGAATGAGACAGACTTAAATGCCAAGTGATGCATTTTTGAACACCATTTTGAATCAGACAAGGACAGAGCGTAAACCTCTACTGAGCAGAAAGAGAGTATAAACAAATCTAGAATAGTATGAAGATTCAGCAAAGACAGTCCACAGGTCACCACCTGGAGGGTGAAATATTAAAGGTACTTAAGTAAATAGGGACAAGGCTGATCAACTACCTCTTGCTTTGCAGAATATCCATATGCAACCAAAAAGCAACAAGCTACAACAAAATCCAGAGTTTATTTTGATCCAATTTCACCTTTAGGTTATTATAATAAATATACACCATACGAAACTTCAGCATAAACTGTACTGATCAGTTTGCTCACTGGTCATATAATTTCTTCTCAGTGATCAAAGAATTAGGGAACCAGGAGACAACAGTGACTTTCTTTTATGCCACCAACCTGTATCTCTTCAGACACATCACTCAAGGCAAAGTTCAGCTGGCATCTGCTCTCCCCACTTTGTGCTGCAGTGGGAATCTTGCCTGTTGCAATCACCAATTTCAATCATAAACTACAGCAAACTCTGCAAACACTCAGATTTAGTGGGTATCTCAGAAAAAGCTGCCAAGTGTCATGTTCCCCCATAGTAAATACGGGTAATACTGCTCGCCTATCTTCAGACAGGTTTTGCAACACAAACCTGAAGAGACAATGTACTGTTATAAACCTCATGCACAAAAGCAATTGTACATGTTAATTTACAGTTTCCCACTATGAATAAGGACAAGCTTATCAAAGCACAAAGGGTGTTTCCTACAGTGGGAATGTCGTAATGGGATGACAAGACATAGCCTGCTTGTTCCGTTCCGCATGTTTGGGAAGATTGTTGGGTCTTTCTTGTCACAAAACAACTCTTGTTGCACCAATATTTAATTAAAAACAAGCTACAAAAGTCCACCCAAAACTTCTCATTTGTTTTCAGGTCTGAGGAACCCACACTGGCAAATTACAGCTCATATTCACTGCATTACAAGGAAATGAAGAGGCATGGACTAGATGTCCCTTTTCAGCTTGATTAAGACCCAGCTGCACCAGTTGCAACAGCTGATGTGAGGAAGTCACACTAAGTCTGAACAGTCTTCCCACTCAAGCTGACAGACTACAAGAAAACCACAACAAGAGGCCCATGCCCACTGTGATAGAGCTGGATGCAACTAATTTTGTTCAGTTAAAACACGACTTTACACATCTGACAGTTTCAGGAAGACTAAAAAAGAACAGGTTTACTTGGCTCTTACATTTCACTGCCTGTCTTCTGCAAACACAAGGTTGGTTGTTGTGATCACGCTGGGGTTTAGGATTCGGGGTTTTCTTTATAACCCCAAAAACCAAAAGTTCCTACTTCTAAAGACCATGTTATGTTTATCATAGGCCTGGCTATGGATACACAGATGCATCTGTACTGTACTTGGGATAGCTGCAACTGAAGGCAACAGAATATTTCAATAGTAGTTTCTTTGTCACTGCAAGAATCTGCCCTGCCACACAAGCCTGCAATTCCAGATTTCTGCATACATTGTGAGGGGTATGAGGCATTACCAGTGGCTGCAGTTCAGCACGTTCCTGGGCAGTTCTATGGTAACGACATTTAGACGGTTAAAGGTGGTTTCATAGGAGTTCAGAAAAATCAGCAAAGAAATCCAAAATTCAGAGAGCAAACCCTGTACAGGCAAATCAGGCTTTGCAAACTCGTGATGCATTGAAAGAGTATGAGTTCTCCATCTCCTCTCCAAGGGAAGCTGCAGCACAGGCTCAGCGGTGCCAGGAAGGTTAGAGGGCTGCCAGAGCATGTACAGGAGAAGGTTTGTGTGCAAACAGAATAAACAGCCTTGACTAAATTCTTGTAACCAATTAAACAACAACTCTCCACTGAGAATACATCATCACTCACTCAGCTGCTTACCTAATCCTCAACCCCTGCTTCTCAAGCCGGCTTTCAATTTTCAAGTCTTCCACTTTTCTTCAGAAGCCGAAGACAAATGAATACCAGTTCTCCAGATATCCTGGTTTTAAGGCTATTATTTGCCTTTTAAAGACCATCAGTACTCAAAAGTGACTTAACACTAATGAGCTTTTACAAGCAAGTCTGCAAACATTAATACCTGTGAGCAGCCATACTAAATCCACCCAAATTACCTATCTGGGATGCTCTCCTCTAGCCTGGACTGGACTTCAAGCCAAGAGATGACCAAACTTGGAAGGTGACTATAGATTTTCTCTGGTCTGCATCCCTGTGTTAAGCTACCCAGTGATGCTAAGCAGATGCATATTGAATGTGCTGTTTCATCTCATGTAAAGGGGGGAGAAAAGGAAAAAGAGTTAGAAATAGTACTTATCTGGAAAAAAAAAAGTCAAATATTTTAAACTAAGTACTGCTACTGTTTGTAGAATGGCCTGAAAGAGAGATATCTCTGAAATTCCTTTAAATACATGTGTTCAGTTTTTAAACTGCAAAATGAGTCAATCTGACAAACCAGCTCAATTAGGATTGCTCCAACAAAAGCAGAGGGTCCCGTCCCCCTAAGCCAGTACAAGTTTCTGGCACAGACATTGGTGTGTGAGATTTTACATTCCCCTCTACATAAACAGTCATACATCAAGCTCTAAAAATTTGCTTCACAGAAACATTTGCACTAGTAAAATTCAATTATTCTAATATTTGTATGACACAGGCAGGAGGGGTACATAAAAAGGTTATGGTGAGCTCATTTAAGAATTTAAACAAGGACTTGATAAAAAGGTTTTGAATTATTCACTCAGCTCCACTATTAAATCAGGCTTCCAAAGGAGTCTTTAAACAACAGCCCAGAAGACATTGTATTTATAACAAAAAGGCAGTACTGAAGCCATCACACTGTCTCACAGAACAAACCATTCATAATTACAGTGTAAAT